GGGATTATTGCCTGTGCTTTGGGAGTCTTATTTAAGAAGTCTTTGCCTACTCCAATGTCTCCCAGAGTTTCCCCCATGTTTTCTAGGAGCAGTTTTATAGTTTGAGGTCTTAGATTTAGATCTTTGATCCACTTTGACTTAATTTTTGAATATGGAGGATTTACTGCCGAGTGAGGCAAGCCAGGATATGAAGGAGAGACATTGTATGTCCCTACTTAATATATACCGAGTGTCTGCACTCTATGACTGAAACTGATCGACTAAAGGTTGTACAAACACAAGATATGGGTGTGAATGCCAGATGAGGTGTGTGCGGAGGACTGGGGCCTAAGGAAGGACATTTGGAGAAAGGATATGGAGGTAGAGTATTGACGGGATGGGGAGGTGTGTGGTGTTATTGGTTGAAGATATTTTGATCAACGAGATTGGGGAGAAATGTTCACATATTGAAATGCTCACATTGTAAGCTAAACAATGGGATTGAATGTATATAAAAAATTAAAAAATATAATAAAATAAAATAATTCAAATAGAGATTAAATTAAATTAGAAATTCAATTACCTAGTCATGCTGGCCGCATTTCAAAGGCTTGGTAAGCCACACATGGCTATCATACCAGAGAACAGAGATATGGAACATTTTCATCATTACAGAAGGACTGCAAAGGTATTTCTTAGCAAAAGACTTAAGAAAAGCCATGGACCGACAGGTAGCATGGTGATTAAAGCAGTGGACTCCCACATGACCAACCATGATTAGAGTCCTGGATCTGGCAGCTTGCTTTCTCACTTTCTCTTTCTCTCTCTCTGTTTCTCTCTGGTGAATTAAAATAATACTACTAATAATAATTAAATATTTTTAAAGCAAAAAGAAACAAAGAAATCTTTTGTCTACTCTAATGTTTTCAAGTGTTTCCCACAAGTAGTTTTATAGTTTGAGACGTTAAATTTAGATCTTTGATCCATTATGAGTTGATTTATTTTTGCTGATGAGAGATAGGGGTCCAATACCATTTTACTGCAGGTGGATATCCAGTTCTTCCAGCACTAATTTGATGAAAGGACTTTATTTTTTCCACTGGATTGTCTTGTGTCCTTTGTTAAATTTCAGCTGGCATTATGCTTGTTTTCTTAGGCTTATTTCTATATTTTCTGTTCTTTACTATTGCTCTGTGTCTGTTTTTCTGCCAGCACCGTGCTGTTTTGATTATCACAGCTTTGTAATATATTTAAGGTTGGATAGTGAGATGCCTCTTACATTATTCATTTCGCACAGTATTGCCTTGACAGTATTCATGATTCCAGACAAATTTTGATTTTTTTTTCTATTTCTATAAACAATGTCTCTGGTAATTTGATAAGAATTGCATTAAATTTGTAAATTACTTTGGGTAGAATTGATATTATATTGATTTCTCCAACCCCAAAACATGGGATGTCTTTTCTCTTTTTTATTTCATATTTAATTTCTTTTTCAGTTTTTCAATTTTTCATAGAGAGGTCTTTCACTTAGGTTAGGTTTATTACTAGGTATTGTGTGTGAGTGAGTGTGTGTGTGGCTAAATTCTGCCTTAGTTGCTCCATTGTTGGCATACAAAAATACTATTTGTTTGTTTTTTAGTTTTGCTATAGAGCACATGTGCTTTCCAGAGAGAGACAGATAACGGAGCATAATCATACCTTAGTTCCTTCTTCTCCATTTCTCCATTCTGTCAGGATTTTGAACATGTCTGTACATACTCTTTTTTCAAACTGCTGAGGCTGAGATTCGAATTGCAGTTGGCCATGTAGGATCTAGCTCCCTTAACCACTAGACTGTGTGACTGACTCTCCCATAATCTAAATAGAGTCCTGAATGCATGTATCTTAACAGTAGGTTACTTGATAGGACATTGACTATATGATGTTTCTTACAATAAGACCTAGCTTTCTTCAAACTAGTTATGCAGGCATTAATTTTTTTAGGTGAAGAGACTATTGGAAAAACCCAGAGAATATCAAGAAGTGGAATAGTATTTAATTTAAACAATTTAAAAGTCAGTGCCTTCACACTGTCTTGCCAACTTTAAATCAGATTGCATATTGACTTTAATACTTTTGGACCTTTTAAAAAGAGATGTTTCAGAGATCTTTGCATGATCTTTTCTGATTTTTTTGTTATTGTTGTTTTTTAATTAGGCCGCCATTTGTCGATGTAGTCAACCACTGTCGGGATTCAGTGCCAGGTGCCTGGAAGATGAACATTTGCTTCAAGCCATTAGTAAAGCCAATCCAGTCAATCGCTATATGTATGTCATTGATACTAGGCCCAAAGTATGTATCCTAAATAGTACTTTCTATTAGTTTAATTATCTTTACTACTTTAATTAATGGGAGTTCATATTTGCCATTTTTAAAATATCTACTTCATAGTTTCAAAATTAGCCAAGGGTAATAGTACTAAGGAAGTCAATTCTTTTTAAGGATATCAGCTTAGAAGATCAATTTCTCAGTAATTTAGGTGGTGATTTCTTATATATATATTTCATATATGTATATACACACACTTACGTGAGTGTGTATAAATTAATTTAGGAAAGCTGAGTTTTATTTTGGGAATTATGCTAGTATATAAGTCTTAGGTTATTGTGAAGAAATACTAAATAATACGTGTTGCAAAAAATTAGATTTTTTTTAAAGAATTTTTTAATTAACAGAATACTTTATATTAAATAATGAACCTTAGTTGAAAGTATTTGAAAAAATTAGGAAAACCATTAATATAGGAATTATAAATCTTGAACAGGAAATATTTCTGTTAGGCCATCTATGGTATAAAGCTAAATTTTTTATCATCAGGACAAATGTCAGGATTCCTTTTTCTTTTCATAAATACAGGTAAACACCCAATTCATATAGGATCCTAAAACTAAAGTAATTAAAATTCTCAATGGTAGTAGCTAACATTACTTTTAATTTTTATTATAGCATCGCATGCAGAGCTGGTGGGCTACACAAAAGGACATTGGCAGAATTATAGTGAGGATTTCTTCAAAAATCTGGAATGTTGAGAAAATAAGAGAAAGCGATGAGAAAAAGCGAGTGAGCAATATAAAACAAGCACTTTTAGGCAGCTTTGTGAAAGGAACGGTAGTTGTTTTAGAAATAATTCTCATCATTATACAATCTCAAGGATAATGGGAAAAACAAGATGAGATTAATTTGAATAAGTTTAAAGTATTAAAAAGTAGAAATTCATTATTTGATCTTTTTTTTATTGTGTCAAAAATAAAAAAATTTCTCAGTAGTCAAGAGTGATGGTGATATCTCCTGCAAGAAAAATTTTGCTCTACCTCCTGTACAATCTGGATTGATTAATTGATTAGAACTCTTTTTAGTTAATATTAGATATAAAAGGCTATTGTAATATGAGACATTTTGAAGACAGCTATCTGTTTCTCAGAACCTGTTAGCTCTCATTTGTCTAATTATCTTCCATGCAGAAAATGTGTTCCTTTAATTGCTTTGCAGGTTAAACTTAATATCAAGTAGTAGTAATGTGGAAGCATTTTAATAACTCCTTAATTTTACCTTAGTCATCACAGGTGCACAATAGCCTGTGAGTCAGAACATACACAATTTCACCGTACTCATTACCAACCTCTGCTCCCCTGAATGAAAAGCTATTTGTTTTTCCAATTAAGGTTCCATTTCATCCAGGTTCATAAGAATATCTAGTAAATTGTATTGACGCACTATATGAAATCCTAGTCTGAAGAATTAAACATGCCAAATCCTAAGTGAACCTTAGATAACATTTAATGTAACAACTGAAGACTGTGATCATACTGGAGGTCTGTTTTCCTCTCAGAGACCAGCTTGTTTTCTTGTAAATATATCAGAACAATGGATTAAATGTTATATTATGTGGTGTATGGGCCTCCAGTAACCTCTAAAAAGGAAGACCTCATCTAATTTGAAGCATATTTCAGATCTAATATTTAGGGTTCTTGTGGCTTTCTGAATAAACAAATGCTCCAGTATTGTTCTGACATATATCTCACAGGTCCTTTCTATTAAAAAAAAGAAACAAAAGCTCCCCATCTCTGATAGTCTTAGGATTTCAATGAAGCAGTTCTTTATTTTTAATTTTGAAATACTACAAGCATATGGAAACTAACTAAAAACTTAGTTTTTGTCTGGAGCTTTTCATTAAATAGTAATCATATTGATACTTTATCATATCCATCTTTACTATCTCTAACATTTGTGACATTTTCATTTATTAGAAAATGGTAGCTTATCAGTTTTGATGAATTCCTTTGGATTCTCTCCTAGCTAAATTATAACTTATTTAGTGTTGTCATAATATTTTAGTAAATTAATTTAGAAAGAAATTTGTCTCTAAATTTCAAACATTTTAAATTTTAGCTGAATGCAATGGCCAACAGAGCAGCTGGAAAAGGTTATGAAAATGAAGACAATTATTCTAGTATTAGATTTCAGTTTGTTGGGATTGAAAATATTCATGTCATGAGGTCCAGCCTTCAGAAATTATTAGAAGGTATGGTTATTGCTTACCTTTTATTTATGTCATTTTTTAATTTTTTTTATTAGATTTCAGTTTGTTGGGATTGAAAATATTCATGTCATGAGGTCCAGCCTTCAGAAATTATTAGAAGGTATGGTTATTGCTTACCTTTTATTTATGTCATTTTTTAATTTTTTTAAGAGGTGTTTGCATATGCATTCGCCATATATATGTGTGTGTGTGTGTGTGTGTGTGTGTGTGTAGAGGAGAGACAGACAGAGAGAGGGAAAGTGAGAAATCATCCCCCCAGGGGAAATGGTCACGTTGCAATCCCTTCTCCTACATTCTCCTTTCGGGATCTTGGGCATGCACGTACATGCGCCCGGCGTGAGTTTTAAGCCTGCAGGTCCGGGACGCGAACTGCAGTTGACTACGTGGGAGTCCAGCAACATAGCCATTACGCTAACTGCTGGTTCCCAAGTTGATTTTCTTGATTGAGGGCAGGTATCTTTGAAAGCAGGCACTGTGACAGTGCTTATCTTGGTTCATTGTGCAATGATTTAACAGAGTTCCTCTTTTTTCTCTAAAGCAATTGGTCTTGTATTGCCTGGAGAACAAGATTTGTGATGTGAATCATAGAGACAACGCAGGTTACTGTGCCTTGCATGAAGCTTGTGCAGGAGGGTGGCTTGATATTGTGCAACACCTTCTAAATTATGGTGCTGATGTCAACTGCAGTTCCCAGGATGGAACAAGGTATGTACTATGTCTTCTCAGCTTGCCAGTATAGCATGGCTTATGAAGCATGTAGTATTTGTTGTTGTTGTTTTTTATTTTTTTTTTCCTTTATTTATTTATTTATTTATTTATTTATTTTGGTGTATACTTTCAATCATATTGTTTGGCTTACAATGAGACCATTTCACTATGTGCACATTTCTCCCCAGACCTGTTGATCAGAATATCTTCAGCAGGTAACACCACACCTCCCATCCCATCAATGCTCAACCTCTGTATCCCTTCTCCAAATTTCCTTCGTTAGGACCCACTCCTCCACATTCACCTCATCTAACATTCTTGTGATTGTTCAACCGTTAGTCAATAAGTTTCAGTCATAGAATGCAGACATACGGTATAAGTTAAGTGGGGACATACAGTATCTCTCCTTCATAGCCTGGCTTGCCTCACTCAGTGGTACATCTTCCATATTCTTCCACTTTCTGTCAAAAGCCAGGGTTCTGTTGGTTTTTATGGCTGAGTAGTATTCCATAGAGCATATGTGCCACAGTTTTTCAATCCATTTCTCCATACAGGGGCATCTGGGTTGGTTCCATGCCTTAGCTATTGTGAATAGTGCCGCAATAAACATCGATGTCCAAGCACTTTTCCAATGAAGAATTCTTCTGTCCTTTGGGTAGATACCAA